ATCACTTAACTTTATAGGAATTTCTGCATATCAATATGAATTAGAGTGATCCTGCTACTCTTTTTATGCTCCCGCCATAAAATGGCCGAGGGCATATATTGATACCCTGTTCCGTCATTCCGTTATTCTATCATTCCGTCATCATTGACTTTCCGTTCATTATCTCGGCAACAGTTGCACACATTCAACTCAAATTTGGCATATGGATACTGTCATAGGAATACGCAGGTCTAGTTCGAATTTGCTCATGGTCCGATGATTTTGACAGTTTCCCTCTTGAACTTAGAAAAAAAGAAGAAATTTTCAGTTACCGCTCTCTTACTTTTGTAGGGATGTATGTATAAGGTTGGATATGTAGGTGTTTTACCATAAAATAAAATAAAATACCGGTCAAGATTGAATTTAGTCTTCGATGATTTTTGATATAGTTATCCCTCTTGAACTTAGAAAAAAATAAATTTTCAGCTTCCGCTCCACAGGCACTTGTTTCTGTAATAAATTTTTGACCCATAGTATAATAATAAACCTTGTTATTATTATACTATGGGTCAAAATATTATTACAGAAACAAGTGCCTGTGTTCCGCTCTCAAACTTTTTGTAATGATGTATACAAGGTTGAAATTGCATATGCAGGTACTTTACCAGAAAACTGGTCTGAAGATTTTTGACAGTTATCCCCCTTGAGCTTGGAAAAGATTTACTAAATATGGCATTTGAAATTTTGGTTGCCTGCGGGGGGCATTCGTGGCGTTATGACACATCTAGTTGTTTTGTTTTTTTTTTCAATTCCCTATGCATTCACATGTACGAGGGTTGTCCGGTAAAATCGTGGACAAAACGTTTTTATCGAAAAATAATGGGCGCACTAAGCTGAAATCTTCAGCAAATGTTTATTTATCATATTTTAAATACATCTTATTTATTTATTTATTTATTTATTTTTGATAAAGTATAGACAAAAGTGAAGATTTTATTATGATTGAATGTGCACAGGGCACGATCCTACGGCGCACGATAAAAAAAAAAAATCAGACTCTGGGCGTGCTTTATTTAGCTTAACTTGGTGTACACTAGTGTACACCGGTGTGAAAGATGATGGTGTAGTATATGTTTTGCATCTCGCCAGTGTTTGGCTAAAAATTTTTGTTTAAAGTGAAAAAAAAAAATTAATAATTGAATAAATTATTTTAAATGGTCAAAAAATGATTTCAATGTCATCACTTACACACAAAAGACAACTTGAATGTGATTTCTTATCCTTTATATTACATAAAACCATTTCTTAAATTTTCAATCGTAACATTCTCCGCCATATTGGATTCAGTGTACACCTTTCAACACATGCCCTAAATTTGGTGTAAGAAAGTGTACACCAAAAGTTGACACCCCTGCACTTGATTAAAAAAGGTGTACACGGTGTAAGCGGTGTAAGTGAATCAATCGCGCCCAGAGTTTTATTAGAGAATAAAATAGGTCACAAGGTTTGGGTAAAAATTATCCTAATTTTAATCTACTGTCTATAATGTCGTCTTCTGGAAATCTTCAGGGCATTTGTTTAATTTTTGGCAGTTTCCTGAGCATTTGAAATGGGAAAGTGGTATGCATACATATGCATTACACACAAAAATGGCGACTTTTGATGACGTTTTGGCGCACCGGAGAGCACTTTGCTTGATGTTAATGATTTAACATATTAGTTATTCCTCCTTTTTAGACGGTGGCTATTTATAGCCACAGGCTATTGCTGCTGGTCTGGGCTATGAATAAACAACAGTGTAAAATCACGGGGACCCTAGCGGCGATTTTCGCAGAGACAAAATAATGAAAGTGGGGTCGTTTCGATGTTCGAAAATAAAATGTACTTGGTTCTCAAGTTATTTCAATGACATTTTGTTGATGGGCGCAAAGTTTAATTCCTGATATTTGCCGTTATAATATTTCTCGCCTCATGAATATTCATTAAATTACGCCGACTTAATGTTAATTCGTACAAAAACTGATTCGTATATAAGGAGTCAGTTCGTATGCAAACCACAGAAGTCAATTCGTACATAAAGTTTGCTGAACATGAAACAAATGCAAAAAGTCTGTTCGTATACACGGCCTTTTTGCGTTGTGTAAATGTAAAATTTCAATAAAATTTATCAAAAGTAAAAAAAAATCTGGGGGAAAATATTTATAGATAATTGTTTCACATTACACCTTACCATCTTAGGAAATAAAATAATTATTGTTAAACCAACACACTCTCGGCGGTTTCTTCGCTGTTGAATGTGCGACAAACACGAATTGCGAGATGTTCCCAATTTGGTATTCCCTAATTACGAGATACTCCATGCTTGGAAAGCGTCGATCCCTAAATTTCTCCATTTCCAAAAATTCAGTTAACATGATTCGAGGACTGCGTATTTCTTATTGTTTTGTGGAATTTTTATACAATAATACTTATACAGTTTATTGAAATTTTACGGTGTCTTTTGATTATTTGAATTTCTAGTATCTGTTGACGATACTATATTAGAGAAAGATATATTTTCGGAATAGAAAAAAAAATCACGTCCTCTTAAAGTTTGCATAAAAGAGAGTTATTGAAGGCAGATACGATGCCATGTTGCAAATTTTATTACGGTTCTATCTAAAAACAAAAGGCATTGCCTAATTATCTCGGACACAAAATCTACTGAAAGGATGCTAATTTATCAAAGCTATAATTATAAGACTGCGACGAACAAAAGTTACCCATATATTTCATTTGTATTTGAAAATTCTATCGTGCCTCGAATAAAATTTACCCTTTAAAAAGTGTAAGAAAAAAGCTACACAAATACATTTACATGAAATATTAGGATTTTCTTGCGAATTCAGTAGGCTTAATTTAGGTCAGCCTTCTCCTACATGTGTTTTCAAAACTTCGTATTACACAATGACTTGCGGGGTCAGTGCATATTAAGATATTAAGAGAAATAGAGGGTGAAAGATATTTTGTTATTCTGTTCTTTTTTTTTTCTTTTCGAATAGTATATACATGTATATCAAACAAATAGGTAAAACTACTGTACAATTCTTGAAGTCTTTCAACCTTATAGAAATAAGTAAATTACTGGAAATTTGGCAAAGATTGAGATTCAAAGATATAGTCTATTTCATTATCTTTCAGCATATGATTTATGTCGCGCAAAACAACAATACAACGCCAAAAGTCATTCATCATTTCCCTTTTTACCGTATATTTTAAGAAAAGTTAGTTTTTGTTTTAAAAAATATTGTGAGTTCAATTTTACTCCAGATTAGCAAAATTTGATAATTAATCACTGAGTATAAGATTTTATATTATAAAGTCACAATTTCTAACTTCAGCACACCACGATTTCATGACACTTTTTGTTGTAAAATTTAACTTTTTCATTCGATACTTGATATCACTGAAATGCATGCTGATATGATTATTTTCAAATTATGCGAAGAAGGTACAATGAATTCGGAATTTACTGATACTCGCTCATATCTGCAACTCACAATAGGGTTATTAATTATTCCTATAATATTTCAAACACATTTCTACAAAAAAAAAATGCACATCTTACTTGGAAGCGCACCTAAATGGAACCACACATGCATGAAAGCTGTCTTAAAATAAATATATTCGGTCACCACATGAATATATTAGAACCTTTGATTCCCTTAATTTAACATTTAGGGTAAAATGAATTGTTTTAAGGATTAATTAATGAAAAGAAAAAGATTGAAATGATCGATCTTTCGTTTCTGGCATTTCAGCGCATTTTTTTCTTCAAACATAATTTTATAATAAAACTAAATAAATGTAGAAAATTTCATGCAATAAATTGCTTAACAACTTCAATTAATACATGTCCTCATTATACTGACGCAAATATAAATTAACTTATCAAATTAATACATGTATTGTGAAAAATTGCAACAAACTTTCATATCTTCAATATCATTTTACAGATTCTCATATCATTTTATTTTATTTAATTCATTCATGCCAGTGGCCATGTGGTGCAGTAATTAGAGCATTTGCTCTAGAGTCACGGAGTAAGGAGTCCGATCCATCCTTACGTCGCGGGTTCGAATCCCACTGCGGGACGTGGAGACCGGTCCTTCGGATGAGACTGTTAAACTGAGGTCCCGTGTCGCAGTAAGTGCTGACCAGAAAAAGATCCCTCACTGCACAATGGCCCTGAGTGCTGAGTATAGATATAAATTTAAAGCCCACCAATGGCAATGGTGGCGTCTCATTATGAGTGAAAAATTCCCGAGAGGGACGTTTTAATTAAAACAAACAAAAAATCAAACAAAATCATTCATGCCACCGTCTATCAGTACTCACAGTACTTTGATTTAAGTAAATCTGACATTTCATATGTTTAAAACTGTCAGTTCGTTTTAAAATATTACTGTCCCATAGCAAAATCACGTTTTTCCGCTTGTCGGAAAGGCCCGATAAGTTTCAATTGGAACGGAAACCAGTCCATCTAACTGTGATAACCGTGCGCATACGAGTACATGTACCTTATACTGGTTGCAACTATTATACAGCGTAATCCATGTATAACAACATTCTTTGTTACAAAGAAGGACATTTTATTAATTCAAAGTCATATCTTTCGTTCAGCTTTTCCTATTGACTGGGTGCAGGTGTGTAAAATATCGTGTTATTGATTTGTGTGTTACATAAATGACATTGTCATGAAACGGTTAGCTTTGACCAACTTTTTCCATATTTGGATTTACAGAGGGGTTGTTACTCCTCTTGATAACAGCATTATGGTTTATCATAATAAATAACGGGGAAATTATTCAGTAGATATATATATATAGAGAGAGAGAGAGAGAGAGAGAGAGAGAGAGAGAGAGAGAGAGATGACAGTGTCTGTAATTAAGACACATTAATAAGTTCCAATATAATCCTATACAAAACCAAAAACAGGACACCTTTTAAAAGAATCACTCTAGAGAGAAAACAAAGACTGATTAATGCCAGATATTTCATTTAATTTTATAATAAAAGAAAACATTGGTATATTGTTTATACCTACGTATACAAACAAAACCACAGCTGCATCATCAAGAATGTCCTATAAATGCACTATACCCTGTTTGTAATGAGACGAAGAATGGGAGATACGAGACAAATACGAAATACACAGTACATGTATCAAGTTATCAAAAATGACACCAGATATACATAACAGGACCACAGCATTGATACAAATAAATGTACACGTATCATTGATATGACAAGTATAACATTAAAACACTTTGTACACATGATTTATCACAGACAATTCGCACATAAATGGACGGGGTTACTTCTTTGGTCTCCAGCCATTGATGAAGTCTATTATCTTCTTTACATCTAGGGCGTTTAGTTCCGGGAAGCCCTCACGGAGCAGGTTTTTATCTAAAGAACACAGTAATTGACCGTCTATCTGTTCGTTAGATAATCTCTTCACCACTCGGTCCTTCATTCCGATGTACCGTAGAGACTTTGACACCTCCTGTACGCTTAGATTAGACAAGTCAGCAGGGGGTCGCCATCCGTCATCAAAATCCTCGCCATACTCCGCATAACTGTACTCACTGTCGCCATGGTAACCGTAATCACCTGACAACACGGACTCCTCCGGTCTGGACATCATCTCATTAATTCCATTTGATGACATCGATCTCTGGTAGCGTTTACTGCCCGGCTCACTCATGGCGTACAGAGATCGTCTGTCATACTGCCCAGGCTCAAACAGAGACAAGCGATGGTTAAATTCCCGGAGTGGAACGGATTCTTGAGGTAAGAGAGGATCTGTCTGCTGAAGAGGGGGATTAATTCCATCATAGTTAAACACGCTCATAACATTATTAACATGTCTTATATTATGACCACGAACTGTTGCATTCGCGTCCAATAGCAAATTCTTATGGGACCGAGACCGCATCCGGGTTAAGGAATTGAAAGGATCGCTGTCCATTTTATGCTCATCCGCACGCGTGCGCATGTCCCGGTAAGTAGCACTGACAGTAGTCCGTGGGTTGACTGCTGTATGATATTGAGGTATTTCAAAATCTCGTGCAGAGGATCGCCCATCCTCAAGTTCTGTATCCTGCCTACTGACTTGTGTCACACGCCCGTCCTCCGTAAAAGGAAACAATTTGTCAAAATCTAGTGGGTCTTCCTTTTGAGATCTATAGATTAGGTCTTTAGACTTTGTAGAATTCCTCGGAGCAATGGGTGGTTTACTGTACATGGCACTTCTCTCCTTGTTTCTTCTCACTTGCGCAGGACTCATGTAGTCATCATCCTCTGCATGAGCTTTATACCCATGAGCAATTTCATCCGCTGGAGGGCGTGGCGCTACCGGAAGTTCTTCATACAATGGTTCTCGCTCTTGCGGGGATTTTGGAATTGGTGGGAGATTTCTGCCTTGATAAATAGCATCCTCTTGCGAGAATTGAGAGGGACGGTACACTGGATCTTTTTCGTCTGTGTATTCTGGTCTTTGGGACTCGGTCGTCTCTCTCTGTAAATTATCTTCACTAACCTCCTCTTCGTCATCCTGCGTGCAAGCTTCTAAATTAAAATCACTCTTTGTCAGTCTGGAAGAAAACACTCCTTCCTCTTGTAACTGCTTCAGACTTGCTCGTTCCTTTTTGCCCTTTGAACGTAGACTTAGTTTATCTAATATTCCAGGTCCTTTTGATTTTTTGCTCGTTTTGATACGAACCGGAAGTTCCACTTCCAGATCTAATGGTGCACTATTCTCGTAAATACGTTCTTCTGTGTCCATGGCTATATGGTCTGTTTTACGTTTGCTAGCGTGACCTTGTGACACATCCTTCCTAAAATAGATTTTTGCATTTACTGGGATTTCAGCTAATTCACTGTCCTCATTGACTGGGTACACCCCCGCCACAATCGTGATTTCTTCCCGTACACCTTCTATCATCACTAGCCCACTAGGTAGAGAGCATGCGCTAGGATCTGCATGGATAAGCTGCGCTCGCACTGGGAGCGAGAATGAAGCAACTAAATCTTGGAGTTCATAGACAGAATCAAAATCATTATTCGTTAGATCTCCAACAGGACTGAACACACCCGTCATAATAAGCGGTATCATCACTTCCTGAGCGTTTGAATCGAAACACTGGAGATACTTTAATTCTTGGTCCTTTTGAGAATATTTTGCCGGTTTGATAATTTTCTTGAAGAAGTTCTTAACATTCGATTTACTTTTTTTCTGGTCCATATAAACAATGCCGGTGGTGAGTACCTGTCCCGGGGAGATCTCCAGCGGCACCCACGATCCAACCCCAGCGTCAAGACTCAGCTGATAGCCAACCACGGAGGTTCGAACCAGGAACCGCCGCGGTTTGACATTGGCGATCGCTTGTATGGAGTCAAAATATTCCACAGGCCGGCCGTCCTCTGGCAAAACTTCAAACCAACCTGAAATTCATATGTCAACTTTCAAAACGGAAAACAATTTATAATAAATGCAAATCTTATGAAATTACAAAAGTGTATGTAAAGAGCATCAGTACTAGTATGTGTACAAAATTTAACATATCAAGGTTTGCTGGTTTTGCTAGAGATGCTGCGGTAGAAAAGTTCGAATCTAATATGTGAAAACTGAAATCGTGAACAAAAATCTAGCTGATTTGATTAGTTTATAGCGTGCCGTCATTCTGTATGTTAGCTCGTTGTTTGCCACCCGAATAATTTGTTCATATGGAACTGATTTGTGAATACTTGAACACACGGGTAATAAATATAATTTAAACAGGTAAGATGTACTGAGGAAGTACAGGTGCCAGGTACCCTTAAACATCGCAGATACCAAATAGAATTGATTTGAACTTTAATGAGGCAGGCAGTTTTTTTGTTTTAAGATGACCTTTTAGCAGAAATCTGTCGGATAGATTTGATAAGGATACGACGCTAAAGACTTGCGGCGTCAGGCTTCTATATACGGATATCACAGAGATAGAAGAAACTGATATACAAAATATACAGGAATATTTTAAATAGTCGACAAAATGACATGGTTATAGTGATACACTATACCGACATTAGAATTAGATTCTAGAATTTGTTACGATAATCGTTAACAATTACACATGTAAGATTATTTATACTGCCAAACCTGGTCCTCATTATACCATGCATTATACTTAATATAATATACATTATACCTTATATATCATACATTACACTTTCACGTGGCTCTCAGGGATCACATATTTTCTACTATTCGAATAGTTTCTCTTTATTTCGGGACATTTTTAAATACAGAATTATATTGCTATGTGATGTCCCAGTCTTTTATGTGTTCCCTTCTATTGAAATGAAACCTACATTAACAGTTTACCCTGAAAAGGAAATCTTTTTAATGGCAGTTTGTCTCTGTGAATCGTGAGAAAACCACTGCTTTGATCCGTATCTTTAAAAAATCCTTGGTAATAAAACACATGCGTGTTCAATACCGGTTATATCTACCAGACTCTGACAAACGACTTTGTATTGGCCTGGGGAATTATGCTAATTTGTTGTTTAATTATTTAAAAACTTGATAGTTGTTCACTGTGTAGTCTATATTCAGCCTTACCGGTTTTATCACGCTACAGTTTGAGAAAAACTATTTAGATAGCCTAGAGGCTTGTTTGGAGAAACACGCTTTAAACTTAATGACTGTTAATGCCACTACGAAGTATACACACTGTACTCCCATGACACGATTTCTGACAGATTTATAGAAGATCTAAAGCGTATATGATGTAAATAGACCAATGAGTCTCTCTTGTCAGATACCTCCTTTCTTGAGAATTTAATATATATCTTTATTGAGAAATTTTTAAATATTTTTTGCATCTTAAAGAATAAAGATATAGTCTGATATTATCGAGATAAAAAGTATTCAATACACCAGGATCATGATCATATTGAGAGTTTATTAAACACAATGGATACGTGTCCACTCTTACCTTTGACAGAGGACCGGATCTCCATCCTCTTGTTTGCCGTGACGTATTCGGAGGATTTCCGGTCCCAAACCATCTTTTTGCAGACGACCATTTGATGAGTCTTCGTGTCTACAAAGTGCACAATTTGGTCGTCGGCACTGTCGTTGGGACGTTTCCATGTTTTTATGTATTTCGCTAAATCCCCTTCATGATGTTTCGCCACAAAAGGCAGACGACCAGTGGACAAGATATCTCGGAGGAGTCTAGGCTTGTCTTCCCACAAAAATACTTTTTGTGGCCGGGGCAGGGCGCCTTTTGGGTTCATCCTGCCCCTCGACACACGAATCTTTGTGCCCTCAGTGGCGTCTTTTCCCGTCACCATAAGTAATCTGCCATTGATTTGATAAACATGTACACAACCATATCAGCGTGTGTAGAAAATATACCGATCAACCCATGTATCATTGTATGTCAGGACTTATTTACATTCCGCATAGTTCATGTATTTATCCACGTTCCGGTTACTACACAAACACAAAACCAAGGTGGAAAACTGCCGAGATCTATCCGAATGTCTGATTAATATCGACCAATGCCAGGTATAAATTGGAGGTAGGCGCTCAGGACAGTTACCTGGCTGATTAGTTAATCACGGGTACTGTGATCTACCTGAGAGCTCTTCAAGTCCAATTCCTGACATGTATTTTGGAGATTTAAATCTTTTGTCGTCTGTCCATTCGGCGTGATCGTTGATCCGTGAGTCCAGCCATCAGTAATACGGGTGGTCATAATAACGTTATAGAAATCTATGTGTGTCTTATAAGTCACGAACATTGAGAGCGAAGTGATTTCTGGAGATGCTTGTATACAGTTTTCTCTCTTGTTACGCAGAAATATATTTAAAAAATAATCCAGGTAACTGCCTTCCTCCTTTTCTAATAAAGGTCGAGACACAGATCTAAAAACTATTTTTGTACAGTGCATTTACCTGGTATTTCGATCATCTCGGATAGTACTGTTACCACAACAAAATTTAAGTTTTCAGGAACGTTCGTCACTATACATGCTATATTACCAATAAATCATATTTTTGACATCCATCAAAATTAACACCACTTGAAACATGATCGATGAAGCAATTAAACATTACATATACAAGTATTGATAAAAAAATTCTTAAAATCCCTGTCTCAACCTTTAACAGAAAATGGAGGAAGGCAGTTATACCTGGATTATGTTTACTGTCCGAATCCTGGAATTTGCCAGTGCTCGACCTTACAACATCAAAGGGGGGGGGGAGGGGGGGCAGCATCTAAAGGAAAATTTACTATTATATAGCAAAATGCTATTATACTCAGCAAAATCCCATATCTCCAGGATTCGGACAGTAAATTAGCTTTTTTTTTTTTTTTTTTTTTTTGCTTGTCAAATTTTTTGGGAAGTCCCCCTCCCACTTTTGAAACCGTTGCTACGGGCGTCATTTCTTCAGGAGATTCGATCCATTCAAATTGTTAAAAATGCAGATATGTATACCAAAGGTATTTGTGGATAGAGCCCCCCTCCCCCAATCATGGCTAACTCCGGGATTGTTGAAATATTTACTATGTTTAAAAATGTTACTAAAAAGATCAGATGGCTAAACTGCTATGGTTTTAGCTTGTTGAGCGATTTCTCGAAATTGCTCGCATGAAAAGATCTCCAAAAACACTACATAGGGCATTTGTGTAAATTATTATACAAGAAATGTAGCTGTATATTTTTTTATGATAGAAAGTAAAAGGATATACACTAGAAAAAGGTTTTAAGCAAATACTGCTGGGGGGAAAATCTGGATGATGCAAGGTCTCATATTCAAAACATCCAAGTGACGCCCACGTTTCGAAAGGATCAGTCAGTAGGTCACGTGTCATTTGTGTCTTAGTTCCTTCCAGGAACTGTAAGGACTGTTAAGGACATTGGCAAGGTTCCTGGTTATCGTATAGAATTTTTCAAGAACTCTTGAGTAGGTTTAAAAGTACTAAATAGGCTATATTCTTGACCTTTTAACCTACCAATCCAACCTTCTTTTTTAGATTTTGTGAAATCGATGTTTTTACACTTCTCAATGCATTTCCTATGTAAAATGTTGATAAAAGGGACCTACATAATTTTTCACCATAATATTTTTCCAAAACCCACTTATTTCATACAGTTTTTGTATTATATACATTATTGTATCTTCATTTCCTATGACTTCTAGAAATTATGGCTAAAAATTATATATCGGAACAAAACATGGATATACCGGCACCGATCATTATTTCTGAGTTGCTTCCCTTAACAGCTAAAATTGATCAAGAGACTGGTTGATTGTTTTTATCATGTAGTTGACTTAATTGATTGAAACACATTGTAACAAAAATATTGGCATTGTTTTATTTTTATTTTTTATTCGTAGTTACTAAATGCTGCTTCCTTCACACGACCTAGCTAAGAACTGTTCTCAGTCGGCCTACCTTTCAGCATATGTCACATATTTGCCCTTCCCAGCATACTGAGCACAACTATCGTAAATGACGACCTATTGGCTCTTTGTCCCTGAATACAATGTACAACAAAGCCATTTCTACTTTTCTTTCTTGCTGTATAGATGATTCTACCCGTTGAAGGAAGTAATCGTGCTTTTGTTTACCTCTGTAACATACGCTTTATTGGTTTCCACCGCTTAGAGAATTCTACACGGGAGATCACTCTCAATCACTATGTTATAAGTGAAAAAACCCATGTATTAAACCTTCTTTCTCCGGAAAACCTTGACTTGCCAATGTCCTTAAAACCTAGCAAATATTGATGATAACACAGTAGAAGAGAAAGACAGCGAATAAACGTGAAAAAACGATTTGTCTGGAAGGGATTCCATGACCAGCCGATGACCTGGTTTTGATAAAACGTAAGTAAAACTGATCAGATCAGAGATTGAAATATCAGTACTAAATTACATGTGCAGTATAGCTATACAGTTAAGAGGACTGGGTGGTCATGGGCATTTTTAGACAAATTATAACTCCCGGAAAAGAGGAGTAAAAGAATAGGAAATTACATTAAGGTAGAACAATCCTCAGTTTCTGAAAATCAGCAGTTAAAGTAATTGAGAATACTCCCAAAAATGTTCTATTCATAAAGTAATGAGTATTTATCAGTGTTTATCCATGTTATTTTTTCAAAGTTTACCATTAAAATTAATCATATTTTATAGGCAAAATTATCAAGTTTCAAATATATTTTCGGGAAATATGAATAAAGACACTAATTATGCATTTTCTGATCAACAAGTGTTTTATGATATTATTGCAGTATATTTACCGTGTAAGTCAATATTGTATTTTACGATATTGACCTGAGTTACTAAAAACAACTTAGAGAAAATTTATAGACGTTTTCTTGTTTATAATGATGAAAAGTCTTTAAAACTATGTTTCTTTTTTGATCTAATAAATAATATACCAAATATACCCAATTTATGAGGTCAATCCATAGACATAGACTTCACAGAAAGCATATCGACTTGAATTAGTCGATGCATGTATATCTATGGATCGACCTCACAAAGGGGCTATATTTGTTTAATAAAAAAAACTTAAGGTATCCAGGCAATCGGAAAAAAATGCTCGTTTTTTAATTTTTAGGTCACCTGAGTGACTCAGGTGACCTATTGCTATCTGTTTTCGTCCGTCGTCGTGCGTCGTCCGTCGTGCGTTAACTTTTGAACATTTTTAACTTCTTCTCTAGAACCGCTCAACCAATTTCAACCAAATTTGGTATATAGCATCTATGGGTGAAGGGGAACAAAAATTGTGAATTTCATGGTCCCTGCCCCCCCCCGGGGCCTGAGGGGTGGGGCTAAAACCACCAAAAATAATGCAATCTTTAAAAATCTTCTTCTTTACTCCTGGACATCAAGCAGTCAAAGTGTTGGCATCATTGTAATAAGCATTGAGCCCTCTACCAAAATTGTGAAATTCATGACCCCAGGGTCAGGGGTTCTGGCCCCAGGGTGGGGCTATATAGATCATATAGTGAAAGTGCATTATTTCTTTGAAAATCTTCTCCTCTGCTCCTGGGTATTAAATAAAGTTAGTAAGTACATAGTTATGATGAGCAAGAGTGCCTCTTCCAAAATTGTGAAATTCATGGCCCCAGGGTCAGGGGTTCTGGTGTTAGGGCGGGGCTCTATTGATTATATAGTGAAAATGCATTAATTCTTTGAAAATCTTCTTCTCTGCTCCTGGGTATTATATAAACAAACTAAGTGCATGGTTATGATGCATAAGGATGCCTTTTCAAAAATTGTGAATTTCATGGCCCCAGGGTCAGGGGTTCTGGTGTTAGGGCGGGGCTCTATTGATTATATAGTGAAAATGCATTAATTCTTTGAAAATCTTCTCTGCTTCTGGATATTTAATAAAGTAACTAAGTACATAGTTATGATGAGCAAGAGTACCTCTTCCAAAATTGTGAATTTCATGGCCCCAGGGTCAGGGGTTCTGGTGTTAGGGCGGGGCTCTATCAACTATATAGTGAAAATGCATTAATTCTTTGAAAATCTTCTCCTCTGCTCCAGGGCATTAAGATGATAAACTAAGTATACAGTTATGATGAGGAGGTGGGCCTCTTCCAGAATTGTGAAAGCCATGGCCCCTGGGTCAGGGGTTCTGGTGTTAGGGCGGGGCTCTTTTGATTATATAGTGAAAATGCTTTAATTCTTTCAAAATCTTCTTCTCTGCTCCTGGGTATTATTTAAACAAACTAAGTGCATGGTTATGATGCATAAGGATGCCTTTTCAAAAATTGTGAATTTCATGGCCCCAGGGTCAGGGGTTCTGGTGTTAGGGCGGGGCTCTATTGATTATGTAGTGAAAATGCATTGATTCTTTGAAAATCTTCTTCTCTGCTACTGGAGATTATTTAAACAAACTAAGTGCATGATTATGATAGACAAGGATGCCTCTTCCAAAATTTTTTAATATATAGCCTCAGTTTTTGGGGTTCTTGAGGAGGGGGGGGGGGGCTCTATTGATTATATAGTGATAAAGCATTAATTCTATTAATTAATCATTAATTAATCCTATCTGCTCCTTAGTGTTGAGCTGATAAATAAATTGCTTAGCTATGATGAAAATGGGAGCTTCGAACAGAATTTTTAAATCTTGTGGTCCTAGGGTCAGGGGTTCTGTCATAACGAGGTGGGGGGGGGGGGCTTTTGATAATATAGTGGAAAAGTGTTAATTCTTTGAAGTCCATAGTTATGATGATGAGGGTAACTCTTCCAAATTTGTAAATTTCTTGACCCTTGGTCTTGGGTTCTGGTGTTAGGGTAAGGCTTTGTTGAATCTGTAGTGAAAATGCATTGTACCTGTGAAATTCTTCTCTGCTTCTGGGCATATCGGAAGCAAACTGAGTAAAAGTTTAAATAATATGAGTAAGCGTATTTCTACCAGATTTTTAAACATCTGGACCATTCGTCTAAGCATTCTGGTCCTGGGTAGGGCTCTATTAATTTGTATTCTACTGAGAGAAGTTATTCCCCTTTTCCATTCATCTTTGATAATTAATCACTGTAAATAATGTATTTGAAAGGTTAATAGAATAAGATAATTATGCAAGAATGTTTATCGTATAAATAAAAAAGTACTTTCTTAGTTTTAATAATCAGGTAGACCTGTAAGTAATAGATAAATAAAAATGAGACAAAAATAACTTATCTTATTAAAAGTTCTTCAAGACCATAAGAGAAGTCAATGCTAGAGGTCTTAATATGGGTTTAAAAATAGTACAGAAGCACTAATAGTTTGTTAATAATCTGCATGGTGATAGTGTTAAGTGGGGGACAGATTAGAACTTAATTTATGAGTTGATACTGAATACTAGACTAATTATTTTGTTGATCCTGATCTTCCTACTTCTCTTGCTTTAGGGCAACAATGCTTCATCTATCCGTGTATTTAACTTCTAAATTGTTGTATTATACTCTAACTCAGGTGACCGTTAAGGCCCTTGGACCTCTTGTTATTTTTTTAACTCGTGCGGATTTTTAGTTCTTCTACATAAATACATAGTGTAAAAAGCATGTGATATCACTGCAAGATATCGCAGATCACTTGCAATTTCATTTTATGTTAATAAAATAAATTAATAAACAATGCAGACAAAATTAAAGGAAATTTGATTTTTCAAAAAATGTTTTTTGTTTTCAATACTTTCATGGGGGTGTAAACGCCATACTTTTTTGGAAGATCATTTCTGGGACTTCAAAGAACCTTAAATCATATTAAGATGCATGAAAACAATTCAGTTTCAAGCTCCATTATCATGTTGAGATTTATTCAAACAATTATTTTAAGGCATTGTTCCTGGCTGCGTAGCGGATATCTATTTACTAGTAATACTGTCACATGTGGGGTTTTCTTCAACAAATAATAATTTATGGCCGGAAAAATCATATTTTTCAGTAGCATTTTTGGGGAAGTTGTAGGCTCTTCAGCCTCCATGAAGGAAAAAAATATTCACTTGTCTCCAGATGTTTACGGAACAATATTAATTACTGAATTTAGAAGAACTATAGAGAGGACTTATACAGGCAGTGCCTGCTGACCGACCCTATTAAGTTTATTTTACAAAGATTAATTCAAGAAATGTTTTCACCAATTTTTCAGGATTATAACATAAGAAAAATTTCCAAGCATGATAAAAAGCAGAACAAACCGACCTCCAATTCGAAAAATAAAATTAAAAAAAGAAGTGATTGGATGCGATTTTTTTCTTTTCTATTCCCGAATCTTTGGCGATAGATTGGATAATCAAAGTAGTCGCTTTTATACATCACACACTCCTATTTTGGGAACACTTCTTGTGACAAAAATAAATGTACAATTAAAAAAAAATGAAATGCATTAATAACAATAATTAAGACATATTATAAAACTATATCAAAAAATATTATTCATAACTTTGATGCATGCTATCAACAAAGAATTATTCTACCGACAACAAATAATGATGCCTCATTTCCCCATGTGCACTAACACAACCACAAATAGATCGGCTGCTGCGGCCGATAATGATGAAAGCCTAAACACCCGGGTTTCGTTTAAACACTACAATGTATATTAAAATGTAAACACGTGAAAGAATTATTATACGGTTGACTATTTCTCAGATCGCTAATTGGCTGAGATCCAATATTCTAGAAATCGTACCTCCGGCTCGGTGAATATTGTATCCCTCAGGTGGCTAAATCATCGTATCGACCTCAAAAATAGCAACAATATCGAATAGCCCTTGTAGTCTCACATAAAAATTAATAACGACAAAGTCAACTTATTCTTTATTAGTAACACCATTAACAAAATAATGAATGCAAACAATCAAAGCGAAGGCATATTCATAACTTCACTTGTATATTTACAAGAAAACTTAGCACTATATCACATCTAGAAACCAAGAGAGTCAGAGACAGGGGGTATTCCATATATGGAAGCATCTATCAGTACAATCAGTCCGTAAATAACTTCAATATTAAGTCTCATTTTCAAATTAAGCAATAAAACAGACCCATGAAATTATAAAACAATCTTTGAATTAAAAAATAAATGACATATGGTAAAAAAAAATTGAAGGCACAAACAATCACACATGAGCTTGCAAACGTCTCTCTGGTAAAAATACATCGTCTTCAAAATCGCTCGATCGCTTGGTCCGAGGTGATGATTCTGGGTTGGAAAGGAGGCGATAACTCCGCCCAAACATGAACTTCTCGTTGAATGACCTATAGTGGGAGGTACCTTATATCAGATTATATAGCCCAAACATCACCTACAGTTTTTACACAATTTTCTACAATTATTGTCCACATATTGATCAATACCACACCACTGTGTCCATTGTGGACATCGGGCGTCCACATCTACACATGCAACAGGCTGCGATTGCGAAGGCGTCGAAGAGTTCGTTTGTACAACAACGTTTGGGTTTTCATAAAGTTTTAAATTTAGGTCTAAGAGAGGTTTCGTGGGATAGGGCTCTGTGGGGACGACATTTGGTGGCCGCGTGGACACCGTGTAGTACCAACTGACGTCACTTGACGCTTGTACGCGTTGGTACTGGCCTGGCTGAGTCCCGAGGTTACTTGCTAGGTTAATGTTGGCTTGACCAAAGTTTGCTCTCATTAGAGCACTTCTAAACAAGTCATCAGACTTTTGTTGCTGGTATTGCACGTTTTGGTTCGCCGGTGCGTTTGCAAATTGGTTTGGTTGCTGAACCTGCTGCTGGTATTGTATGTTGATATTGGATTGTTGTTGATTAGGGGACAAAATAGCGGGGTTTGGATACGTTACCGGAGAACGGATCGGCGCGTTTAAGTCAAGAGACTGTACCTGAATTTGCGGAGACTGACCCAAAAAGTTGTTTATTGCCTGCGGGTTTTGTTGCTGTCTCTGAGGCTGTTGAAAGATAATTGGCGCTGGTGTGTTTTGCTGTATCAACTGTTGGTTATAAATCATAGGGGATGGTGTCGTCTGCATATAAATCTGTTGGCGGGTAGCAAAGTTTGGTTGGTAACTGTTCTGGTTGTAGACTTGATTTGTCTGTATGTGATTGTTTTGATGGGCTTGGTGCAATTGTGAGTTTGTATTTTGATAATGGATATTCTGAGCTTGGTAGTTGTTATACATATTGGTGTTAGGGTAGTAATGGTTGATGCCGTATGCTCCCTGATTATAGAATTGCGGAGGATGTGTGGTCGGTGGGCGTGTCGGGGGTCGCGTGGGTGGGCGTGTCGGAGGACGGGTTGGTGGCGGCTTTGTTGTTGTTGTTGTCGTTGAAGTAGTTGTAGGTGTTGTTGTCCTTAGTTCCACGCCCTCAGGTAATGGCTCCTGCACCTTAATGTACGGGCTAATCTCCCCTGATGGTTCCCGCCGTTTAATTGGCTGTTTTTTGAAACTTGCTGTAGCTGGAGTATGTCCACGAAACTCTAAACGTATTGTTTGTGTTGGTTTGGGAGTTGTAGGTTCTGTGAATTGTTGCTTTTGTTGAATTTGATTGTCTGTTTGTTGAAAACCTACAAGCATATTGTTACCATGGTTACCCTGATGACCAATCATGCCGCCATGCCATGACTGGATAGCTGATGTTGGTTGAACGTAATCATATGACTGTTGCTGGTTGAAGCCCGTGTGTGGTTGCATACTTTGCTGGCCTTGATACTGCTGAAAACCTGACTGTTGATATATCTGAGGTTGCGGCTGTTGATACACCTGAGGTTGCGGTTGCTGATAGAGAGGTTGAGGTTGCTGAATTATTTGCGGTTCTTGTTGGAAGCCTGACTGAGATTGCTGCATCATGTATTGCTGCTGGGTCTGTTGATTGTTGCTTAATTGGATTGGCTGTTGCTGAAATTTTTGGTCCAATTGAACATTCTGTATTACGTTAGGTTGTTCCTGTATAATTGTTTGTTGGATGTATTGCTGTGTGTTATCTTGGGTTTGTTGATTTTTAGATTGTTGGGTCTGTTGTGAAGTCTCTTGGTACTGCTGCTGGTTGATATTGGAGGAGGTCAATGTTTCTGAAACATGATATCAAAACTTTAAGTAATAATAGTCAAAATAGATCTAAAAAGAATACACAGCCTAGGATAAAAAGTATTCGTTACAGACCTTCAAGAATTGAAGGACTTTTAAATTTCAAGCATTATGTAGACGGGGCTTCTAAATCTACAAAGTTTCAATATCAATGGTATTAATATTCCATTTGTCTTGAAATGTACATGCAACTACAAAACATTATCTGACTATACATGTCCAAGTATACATATCTATAAATCGATGAATTGACTGAAGGATGACGTTTACTCAGGGTAATTAGTTGACAGAAACGGAATGCTATAAAGTACAAGATGTTAATCAGAAATTGTTCTAAATGCACGAAATAACCATGTTATAACTCACCATCAATTTCAGAATTTGATATTTTCTTATTTGAAGAAAGTACGCCAGTACATAAGTAAATTTAAGGTGACGCAGAGGAAATTCGGACTAAATTTTACTTTCTAATTTTTTTCACATTTTTTTCTTGAAATATTTGTCATAACGTTATGATTTTATGAGATTTTTAACAGCATTTTGCAAATATTATGTGTGTTAAAGCCAAAATAATCAACAAAAATCATTCCAGGCAACATATCTGAAGAATGTGATCATTGACCTTATATAATTTTAATACCTGCAGAATAAGGGCAACAAAAGTAAACTAAGACTATAAATAGTTTAGAGTTCTTCTCATTCAGATTTTTGTAATATTAGATTAAAATGGGTTAAAAATTAGAAAATTGACAGAGGAAATTGACAGAGGAAATTCGGACTAAAATATTAATAAGTTTATAGTTCAAACTTTAATCGTTTATTAATTATTTAGAAAAACTATACCTTTCATATAATATTTCATTATTCAAAGAATTTTATTACTTGTTATATTTTTGTTTTTTTTCATTCTTGTCGTGGAATTCTTTTGTTTTAAGAAATGAATTTAATTTTTGAAGATTCACGAGGACATGAATTACGACGCTTCACGCCAGCATATTTCATGAAGCGCGTTAGCGCTTCATGATAAATATGCCGGCGTGAAGCGTTGTAGTTCATGTACCTCATGAATTTTCAAAAATTAGATTCATATCTTATATTTACAGTATTTTCTGATGAGTTACCACAAATTACGCCATTCAACTGTCATTTTTAAAGCAAAACAGTTTGCACTATAGTTTTGACGTCAAGTACGGTATTATGATGTAACAATGGAGATATTCATGCTCATCCATAGTAGTTCATGAGAAAATGAACAGTCTTCTAATTTGCAAAGAATCTTAAGGAAAAATATTTGGAAATGTAGATATTCTGAATATCTGGAAAAAATGACAGTTGAATGGCGTAATTTTTGGCAACTCATCAGAAAAATAACGTAAATATAAGAAATGAATTTAATTTTAGAAGATTCATGAAGTACATGAACTACAACGCTTCACGCCGGCATATTTATCATGAAGAGCTAACGCGCTTCATGAAATATGCCGGCGTGAAGCGTCGTAGTTCATGTCCTCATGAATCTTCAAAAATTATATTCATTTCTTAAGTAAACGTCATCCTTATCTTTTTGACATATGGTTTTTTCAAGTGTTTACATCCCTAAAATCAGCAATGTCATATCATATTTTACTAATTACAATGTATCCCAAATCTTTCTTTAAAAACATTTCTCTTTTTAAAAAGCTGACCAAAAGTCTCTGACAAGACTATAGCTCTACTTGTTTTTACTTACAAAGAAGCACCTGCACTTAAAAATTAGTATCTATGGCAACACCAATAAACAAGAATCATTATCACTTGTGTACCAAGTTTTATTTTTCAGATCAAAATCATAGAAGAGAATTAGGTATCTTAGTATAGTCTACTTGTGTATCAAGTCTTATTGAAATCGGGCCAAAACTGTCGGAGGAGTAGGTTACAGAAATTTCTATTTCTAGGAATCCTGACAATAAGCTAAGCTGAAATCAGAAAGCGTTATACAGAATCATTTATCTTAGTATAGTCTACTTGTTTCTGAAGTCAAACTGAATTCAATCCAAAACTGTAGAAGTGTTTAGAAAGAATTTCAGAGAAATTACCATTTTAGCAACCAAGGCAACACCGCAGCGAACAAAAACTTGAAATACAGAATTATGTCTCTTAGTATAACCTATTTGTGCATAAAGTCTTACTGAAATCAGGCCAAAACTGTAGGAGGAGTAGAATTTTGAAAGAATTTCGCATAAATGTTTATTTTTAGCAACCACCGTTCGCTGAAATAAAAAAAAAACGATAAATAAAATTATGTATCGTAGTATAATCTACTTGTTTATTCTTCTGGTCTCTATCCAATAAAGGTAAAAAACCGCTGCTTCAAGTCTCAAATATATTAACACTTATAGAAACCTGATAAATTTTACAATTTTGATATTTAGTTTGACTTGAGAACGGTTAATGTTAACGAGCAAAATTAGTGAATAAATCACTTTTCTACAGGAAGTTAAAAATTAACCCCTAATACCACACAATTCAACTCAATACCTGCATGCATTGGGTGGGTATTAAATTCGTACAATTTTTTATGACTTTCAGAAAATAAATAAAAAATAAAATGAAAATCACGCGACAAGAGAACGCGCTCTTACTTATATAGAGTACATCTATCTTCCCTTGAGTGCGCAATATTTGACTTATTGCTTAAGACACGACTTATTGTTCTTTAAAATACTTACTATTACGAAGTATTTTAGATATGACTTTTTGCTTAAGTCGACATGACTTATTGTTCCAGATACTATTTACTGATTTAGACACAACTTAATGTTATCTTAGACACAACTTGTAATTTAAGACGCAACTTACTGTTTTATTTTTTTATATACGACATATTGAAGACACGACTTACTGTTGTTTAAGATACAGCACCTTGTTATTTTAGACAAGACTTATTGTTTAAGTCACGACTTACTGTTGTTTATGATACAGCACCTTGTTATTTTAGACAAGACTTATTGTTTAAGTCACGACTTACTGTTGTTTATGATACAGCACCTTGTTATTTTAGACAAGACTTATTGTTTAAGTCACGACTTACTGTTGTTTATGATACAGCACCTTGTTATTTTAGACAAGACTTATTGTTTAAGTCACGACTTACTGTTGTTTATGATACAGCACCTTGTTATTTTAGACAAGACTTATTGTTGAAGACACAACTTATTGTTTAACCCTACTTACTGTTATTTAAGTTTAAGCCACGGCTTATTGTTTAAGACACGACTTATTTTTATAGACAAGACTTATTGTTCAAGATACGAGTTATTGTATAAGACATGGCTCATTGTTATTAAAGACACAACTTTGTGCTTAAGAGACGACTTATTGTAATTTAAGACACTTTCTATTGTTATTTAACACGCCTTTTTTGTTGAAGACACGACTTAACGTTTAAGACACGACTTACTGCTTAAGAGACAACTTATTGTTATCTAAGGGACGACTTATTGTTATCTAAGGCGCAACTTGTTGTTATCTAAGGGACGACTTATTGATTCCATTCTCTATGATATCAAATGCTGTAATTGTTTAACATATTCCACATATAGTAACTGAAAACAAGCTTTACTATAAGGTTGTTTACAAAGTATATGTTTCTTGTTCCTTGTCCAACTTGGCAAACGTTTTGTTCAATCGCTTTAGAAAGTTTGTTCCTGGCAACTCAGCAATGGGCTAATATCAATTTTTTTTACCAACAGTAAAAAGGTGATATTCCAAGGATCGGTTCAAATTTTATATTATTTCTAAAGGTATTGAGTAAATATCTACCTTAAAATACAAACATTAGAGCAAGAGAATCAAGACAACGCATGATTTGTCGTGTTATAGTGATATATGCGAACGAACGATAGCGGTGAATACACGTATACGAGTGCTTTTTAAAATCTGACAAAGGGAAGTAAATCAAAAATGGCTTATAAAATTGAATCCTTTCGTTATGAAATATACCGTTTTAAATAAATTATAGCTATATATACAAAATTTGGTTAATTTTGGTTGAATGTTTATAAAGTTATATAACATTGTCTACAACTTTTTGGGACAACCCTCGAATATGGAAAGAAACGCAAAGTTTCCTGAACAACCCAAACCGAATAGCTGTGCATGATACAAATTAAAATTCTCGCGACTTTCGCACTGTTCCGGAATGGTGGAATATCACAATGAGGGACTGAGTAAATGAAATATGAGAATTTTTTTTATTGACACCAACAGTGAGAATTAAGTGCTAAACCTTTACAGTGCAATATTATTGACAAAGCATGTTAAGTGTGAATAGGATCTAATGTATTTTAATACTGGCATGATATCGTGTTAGGAGATTTATGGCAAAAAATCTTCACAGAAAAATCGTACAAAAGGTATAAAGACTTTCATATTCTGCAAGATAAGTAGGTGAGATCTGAAACAACGCAAGAGCAGTGTCGCAGTATTGCATGCAAAGAAAATCCGTCAATTTAAAATCGTAATCATGCAAATGTACTCACTCTTTGCTCTACACGAAACCTCAGACCTTAAAAAACAATTATCTACATTACACAAACATTTCCCTAGATGGTATGGGTTTACATTAAAAACACTACTTTAAATGGGATATTAATGGCATGCAATTAAAAGATTAAACCACTTTTTACAGTATAATCTATGACGCAATGTTCCAATATTAATTGGCCACAGGAAACTACTGATAATTTACAAGGGGAGGAAAATACTGACCTGGTAGAGGCTGTGGAATTATGGGAGGAGGTGGGACGTAGCATGACCGACACGTCCGCCGACAGTTCTCAAACACGTAGGAATTGTTATCACAGTACACCTTCCAGTATGGACAGTAAACATCCTTGTCTACACAGTCCGGCGGTATTTTGGTTGGAGGTAGAGTAGCTATAATCAAACATATTTGTCATAACGTATCTAAAAATCAAACTTTTTTTTTAAACTCAGCTAAAGGAGGATAATCAGTTTTTGACAATTATGATGTTTTACGAAAATATATATACATGTATACTCTAAAACTACGTCATATACATTTCAATGACTAAATTTTTACACACCGTGTACCAAACAAAGCATAACATTCATGGATCCTACCAATCCCATCTCTATATTTCTTGGATATACTCACGGGATGCGGGTAAATAGGAAGGGGTGGTAGTAGAGGGTGCTTTTGTTCGTGAAGTGAATACAGTGCGTGACCGGAAATCCGGGCTTTGGCGCTTCTGGGATTGCCGATCGCTTGTTAAAGACGTTTGTCGCTTCAAGGTGGTGTCTGAAACAGAATTTTGCTTAGTTGTTTGTGATTGAAGACTGTTGACCTCATATTGCCCTCTCCCCAAGGATTGTCCGCCACTGGATGCAGTTTGTTTCTGATCGGAAATAGAGATCTGACTAGAAGAGTGGGCCTTGTAGATACTCAGCGACGAATGTTGTCGCTCCTTGGATCGCAAGTTGCCAGTGGACGCTAGCTGTCTCTCAAATGATCTAGCACCCCCGAAACGAAAGTTGTCAGAAGCGGACAAATCTAACTTGTTCTGGTTGGGCAGCGCAGATTCTGTAACATAAAATGCGCACGCATGCTGATTTCCTATAACAAATTGTTTATTTTTTCACCAATGGTCACCATATTTTCTTGCCTTCCTAATAATTTACGTTTATAAAAACGATGAAACAAACTATTATGCAAAAAAAGAGATCTTAATAGGACCATTTTTTCCAGAGCTGTGTGTTTTGATATTCTGAAATTTAAAGATATGTAATACAATGTATTCACTGAAGGTTACTTGTTTTTTGAAAATGTCAAAATAACATCAGGAAGCAAATGTTTAATTTACACCGAGTTGAAGACTTCATAAAATATGGATATATTAATGCAAAAAACCAGGCGAATTAGGAACGGAGAGGTTACCTGGTACAGGTGAATCCTAAGTTTGTTAGGAGGACAAGTTCACCATAAAAATTGACAGGGATCTTAACTTTATTACTAGTCTGTATAAGGATAAAACAAGCAAACAATGGGAGAGAAAGGACGTATTTTCTCCATTAAAACGTCCCACTGCAACATTAGACATTTTCCAGTTAACTTGCCAGAGCTTAGAGATATTAAAATGATTGTAAGAAGTGCCAGAGTGCGCATTGTGATTAATGACAACAGGGAGAGGATGTGGCTTTCTCCATTAAATGTCCCACCGCAACATCAGACATTTTCCAGTTTACTGTCAGAGGTTGATTGCAAGGAAAAACTCGGTGCTAGCTACAGAGTGTGCAGTTTGCCTTGGTTGTGGAAATTAGTAGAAAGGGGAGGGAAACCTCTACCTGAGTGTGAGATCGAATGAAGTAAAGGACGCATTAATTTGGAAATTGAGGAATTCAGGAAGGTCGGGAAAAGGTTACCAGACAGACAGAATATTCCTATACGAATTACCTGGTTTTCGCGACTTAAAGTCAGTTAAACTTATAGATGGACGAGCGTTTTCTCTAGGGATCGCTTTAACCCTTCTGTCTTTTATTGCCCTTTCTGTAAATCAAAAATTGCTTCAAAATCAGAGCAATTCCCCTGGAAAAAAATATTGTCTATCGTTTACACAGGCCAATTACAACTTATATTACCTCTTTGAGACTTCGTAACTAGGGCAGAGTTCGGTTTGTAGTTGAATTTCAATGTGTTTCCGCTACCTGTAAAAAATGTGAGTGGTTTAAATTCTGGTTAGAATTCTGATCCACCATCTGGTTAATACTACTAATGTAAATGTCTTCTGTTACCTATGGTGAAAGAGACCCTGTTTTTATTGGGCTTAAGCGGCCTCATGCTGGTGACGGTTTTCTGTAAAGACGACATTTGGGGCTGGGGGTTCAGGACAAACAGCGGCGCACGTGTCGTGGTTGGTTGCCAAAGTCGCACGGAGGAAAACTGATTTCGAGGACGGTGAAAGGAAAAGAAAGACGCCTCCTGGACGTCGGTCACAGGCTTCCGGCGAGAATCTCTGTCGCTTACTGAAGACATTTGAACTTGCCGTCTGCCAAATTCTGTCTTGTCGTCCGTCGGTCCGCTGCGCGTCCCAAGCATTGACGAAGACAGCATCCCATTTCCTATGAGACAACAAATAATTTTCAAAATATAAGCACGTACACAGAGCATGCGCAACATGAAGAACAAAGTTAGAGTAACAATACACAAAGATTAGAAACAAAAAACAAAATACAGTCTCTATTCAGATCAGAGCAGTTCATATTAAGTCCCTGCCAGAGAGTAATAATGCACTAAAAGCATCACTTCTGTTATGGATCGCCAAAACTCTGTCCGCAGCTATCAAATAAAATTCTTTTCTATGGTGTATAGAAAACGCATTTTTTCCAATTCTTTGAGTAAGCAATGACTGCGATCAATCGAAACATTAGTGCTGTAATACATCTTTGAAGTCTGGGACGGATGCCAACACGATTGTCCGTTTGTCTGTCCGTCTCTGGCAGGAGGTTATTTTCCCTGAGAAGCCCGCCGACACAGAACAGTCACCAGCATTAGAATGCTACCCAAAGAACCAAATTTTTATACCTCCTACTTATCATATAGGAAAAAAGTTAAGTATGATAGAATATAAATTCAAAATGATATCAGCCATGAAAAGAATTAAAAGCTGACAAAGAAGGGCATGCAAACACCTTGGTCCCATCTTACAGAAGAATGTACGACCAAGACCAAAAAATTTTAGCTGGATGTTAAATCTTGCGAAATCTATCATTCTGTCAAAAAATACTGCCTAAAGACAACTTTCAATATTCTTTAAAATAAGACAAAAATATTTCAAACAATTATAAAGGAGAATTTTCAGACAAATTATAGTTTGGTCTTAGTCTTAAGTCTTTTTGTAAAGGAGATCCTCTGGATGTTAGATGAATATGATGACATTTAGTAAGATGATGATTGCAAATAATAATATAAAGATATAGAAGGAAAGGAAGTTGTTCCGAGTATTGATAACATTAAATTTATTTTATATCTTTGAAATTCATTAATATGGTTTAAAATCAAAGTCGCATGATGTAAATGTTTGAAAGACAGAATTGTGCTCACTAGTGTTGGTGCTTCCTTGATCCAGCTCTGACCTGCGATCTGCAGGCAGGCCTTTGTTCCACTTCACGATTGGTTTGGCGGTGGTCTGACTCTTCCCCACCATCAGTGTCTGTTCTATCAACTTCTGTTGAGTGCGAAGCTGCTCTTCTAGCGCCCTCTGTTTCTTTAACGTTTCCTCTAGAAGAGCTTGTTGTTTCTCCAGCGCTGTTCTATGCTGGAGTTCCAGTTGCGTCATTTCCGTGTTTGAGGATTGTGAACCACGTGATATTTGTCTACTTGGTGGCAACGTAGGGGGAAGTGTGGTTTTTACTGGTTGTGGAGTGGTTGGTGCATATTTATCTAATAAAAAAAGCATTTTTCTAGTATGTTTTTTTTTCTTTGAATGTGTTTGTATGTCAATTTGATCAAGGTTGAACTGTACCTGCACATAACTTGTCGGAGCAAACTTCCTTGGCTTCGCACTTCTCACATGCACCACCCCTTGAGTATGGAAGATCTCCAAATGTGTTTCCTCTAAGAATTGATTATGATAGCATGAAATTATATATCATAAATTTAAACACGAGGCCCATGGGCCACATCGCTCACCTGAGCACATTAGCTAGACACAAATCAGTTCAGTATTGAAAAGATTACGGGGGGGGGGGGGGGGGGGGGTTGAATTTTAAACTAACTGATGATGCTTCCATGTCAATATAACAAATGGCTTTGTTGTACTCGAGATTTTAAAAAAAAATTCCCATATATTCCTTTGTAAAATTTTGATCCCCCATTGTGGCTCCTCCCTATCCCAGAGGTCATCATTTGAACAAACTTGAGTCTACACTACCCGACGATGCTTCCATATCAATATGACGAAACATAGCTTTTCTGTTCTTGAGAAGAAATATTTTTTCTATGTGTTCTTATGTAAAACTTTCGATCCCCATTGGGCCCCACCCTACCCCTGGGGGTTATCATTTGAAAAAAAAAATGAATTTACACTACCTGAGGATGCTTCCATATCAAAATGACTAAACATGATTTTCATTTCTTGAGAAGAAGATATTTTCCAATATGTTCCTATTTAAAAAAAAATTTGATCCCCCATTGTGGCCCATCCCTATCCCCGGGGGTCATCATTTTAACAAACTTGAATCTACACTACCTGAGGATGCTTCCATATCAAAATGACTAATCATGGCTTTGCAGTTCTTCATCAGAAGATACCTTCCTATATATTTCTATTTCAGACATTGATCCTCCATTGTGGCCCCGCCCTACCCCAGGGGGTCATGATTTGAACAAACTTAAATCTACACTACCTGAGGATACTTCCACATAAATATGATCAATCAGGGCTTTGCTGTTCCTGAGAAAAAGATTTTTAAAGATTTCCTATATATTTCTATGTAAAACTTTGATCCTCCATTGTGGACCCGCCCTATCCCCCGGGGTCAAGATTTGAACAAACTTGAATCTACACTATAAATATGACTCATCATGGCTTTGCTGTTCTTGAGAAGAAGATTTTTAAAGGTTTTTCCTATATATTTCTATGTTAAACTTAGATCCTCCATTGTGGCCCTGCCCTGCCCTACCCCCGGGGGTCAAGATTTGAACAACCTTGAATCTACACTACCTGAGGATGCTTCCATATAAATATGACCAATTAGGGCTTTGCCGTCTTGAGAAGAAGATTTTTAAAGGTTTTTCCTATATATTTCTATGTAAAACTTTGATCCTCCATTGTGGCCCCGCCCTACCCCCGGGGGTCATGATTTGAACAAATTTGAATCTACACTACCTGAGGATGCTTCCACATGAGTTTCAATTTCCCTGGCTTTGTGGTTCTTGAGAAGAAGATTTTTAAAAGATGCTATTAATTTTTCACTAATTCTTTATTATCTCCCCTTGAAAGAGGGCGTGGCCCTTCATTTGAATAAACTTGAATCCCCTTCACCCAAGAATACTCTGTGCAAGGTTTGGTTGAAATTGGCCCAGTAGTTCTGGAGAAGAAGTTGAAATTGTGAAAAGTTTACGCCAACGACGACAACGCCAACGACGACGACAGACAACGGACAAATTTTGATCAGAAAAGCTCACTTGAGCCTTTGGCTCAGGTGAGCTAAAAAGGACTCCAACGTTATAAAGTCTAAAAAATAGAGATATGGAAGCCTCTTACTTTGGATCGTACAGACAGTAGATGAACCATGCGGCTGGGATGAATTCTTCTGGCATTGTTAGCTCTGTGCATTTCTGTATTGCGCATCCTACACGTTGCGTCTTTGCCCAAACAAGCTGAGGCAGATACATAATTTATTTTTAAAGGAAATTATCACATTATATGTCATTGTACATTGCATTCATATTCCAATGCTACAAAAGATACCGGTATAAATCAGTGAAATTCAAATCTTTAAAAATTAATGAGGTAGATTACGGTTGTAATAGGAATGGACTTCGTTTCTATTTTTAGAATACTTTTGAAAAAAAGTCATGTGATACCTGTGTGTAACTACAAGCCTCCGCGCAATCCCCGGACATGCGCCATGAGTACCTTTCACTGTACCACGCGTCTACGGCGCGTTCGACCAGTACATTGTCTGGAAGTCGGGACTCAAAATAATACATGTTTTCCCCGTAGCTGCCGTACCGAAACTCGTATATACAGTTTTTGGTCCATGCCGCGGCTTCCGAGGCCAGATTTGGGTCCCATACCTATAATAAAAACCGTTATCCTGGTTAACAGAGATTAGAATACATAATGCAGGGTCCTGAGGAGGAAAATAACAATTACTGAACTAATTTTCAGACAGACATGGCCTACATGGTATTGTTAGAGCAATGTTCTCATGAAATCGTTAGGATGATCTGGTTATGGAATTTCCGGGATAAGACTGTCATTGTTTTTTTTTCCTGATAATGTTGACATTGCATTGGGTACTGTACTCATGGTATAAGTAGAATTAGGTGGTCACAGTACTAGTATTTGTTAGATGAGGTTAACACATTATTGCTGGGATAAGGTTATCATGGTATTGCTTGGATAAGGTTGCTTTGGTTTTATTTGGATAAGGTTGTGATGTACTTGCTTTGCTATGGTTATCATGATATTGCTATGATGGGGTTGTGAGAGTATTGCTAGGATAGGGTTGCCATGATATTATTCGGATAAGGTTGTGGTGATGTTGCTGGCTGGGATAAGGTTGTCATGTATTGCTATGATAAGGTATGCTTGGATAAAGTTGTGACGGTATTGTTATAAGATATGATTGTCATGGTATTGCTATGAAAAGGTTGTGACGGTATTGCTAGGATAAAGTTGTGATGGTATTGCTAGAATAGGGTTTTGATGGTATTGTTAGGATGGGGTTTTGACGGTATTGATTTGATAGTATTGACCCTTTTGTTTCTTGTGCCCCATGTGCAAGCAACTGATGCAGGGGGCAGGTTATGACGGTATTGCTAAGCTAATTTGTGACGGTATTGCTAGGATAAGGTTGTGACGGTATAGCTATGATACGGTTTTGACGGGATTGCTGGGATAAGGTTTTGAAGGTATTGATGAGATAAGGTTGATTTCTGTGCCCTATGTGGAAGCAACTGATGCAGAGAGCAGGTTGTGACGGTATTGTTATGCTTTGAAGATATTTTTACAGTAAGTTAGCCATTGTTTCACTAGTTGCTAGCGAGCGCTAACAACTACGTTAGTCTATTTTACTGGAATACGCATGCTCGACTTCACGGTAGGGCATTCTGGGAATACAACTGTAGATAAACTATACCATGTCAATTTCGTATAACCATCTGGAAATACATATGATCTGAAGTTTTGTGTTTTGTTGTCTAACCTGTATATAAATATACAAAAAGTAACCGTAACTTAGGTCTTATAATACCAAGACCGTGGAGATCAATTATTTCTAAAATTTTACTAAATTCTTAACTATACCTTCCTGGATCTTTCCGGCAAACTCGGAAAAACAACTTCTGATATGTTTTCCGAGCTTGCCGGAAAGTCCCGAGAAGATGAGATTGCTACAAAACGGTACTACACGGGAATACTGTAAATTATATACTCACCGGTATTACTGATCTCTTATTTTTCTCCTCAGAATTGAAATTACAAGTAAACTACAGAATGCTTAATGCATAGTTAATGAGTAAAGCCATTGCCGATGTGAAGCCCACTCTAGATTCACTATTCTGAATTGAGACACCACCCCTCAACACCATCCCAGTGCACCACTGTGCCTTCCTATTAATAATTAATCGATTCAGCAAATTAAACCAATGGTTCAGATATATATTCTTGAGTCTTCTGTGTTTTATGATGGCTATTGCGCTAGCTCACCTATCTTTTTAAAAAGATAAGCTTGTACAAAGTTGCATTGATTGTAAATAAGAAATATAGACTTGCTACTTGCTTCGTGAATGCAGTTTTGATATTTTGTGAGGTTGCATATTAATCATTGTACGATTAAGTTAAACAAGTGCTGTATTGTCTGGACAAGCTTATCTTGCTATTATTTGGGTAAGATGGTCAGGGTAGGTGGAAGAAGATCGATCATTATATCTTAGAAAGGTACGGTATTATTACACTTACTTAGAGTGTGCTCAGATCAAACATTTAGGTAGTCATGATATTCTTGTGATCAGCTAAGGTTGTGCAGTTTTCTTGCGGTTTTGAGATTACATGTAGAATAGTCGTGATCTAGCTTTCTCTGAGACGAAAATACCACCAGGTCGGATTTTGGCCTACAAACCAGTCTTACTGAGTATTATGTTTTATTATTATCTGGTTGACCGACCATAAAAATGACTGCATATTTTAGCTGGATTTAATGAACGGCTGGTGTGATTCCTTGTCCATATGATGAATACAGAACCACACCGAGTCGTCACACCGACAGCTAGATATCAGAACCAAGACAAGGAGACACATAACAAACACCGTGCTGACATCTTCACGGCTTTTTTCTCTCTTTCATGATCAAATCTTACTTAAAAGCACGTGTTCTTTATCTGCTTTCTTCATTTCTTTTCAAATCAACAATATGACTTAAGTATATTATGCAACAGATTGATTATTTTATGTCACAAACTGACATTGCTATAAAAATTAATTTATTTAAATTAGGGATGAAGCTGTACTTCATAGCTTTTTATGTCATGCTAGTTCACAGCTCAACAAAATCGAGCACAGTCTAGCATATGACTGAGATGTTATGGTGGATATACATGTACTTTTCTTTTTCACACTTCTATTTTTGCAAAAGAGTTTCAAAAAAGCATTTTTCTAGCAAAAACATAAAAAAGAACAACCAACCAACAAACAAACAAATAAAAAAAACGAGATTTATATAATTGCTTTCAGTGCATGATAGCATACTTTAAAGTACATTACACACAGGTTATTCATAATTTAAACCTACGAATAATTATAGGTCAATTTCCTCGTACATCACCCGAAAAAGAGGACTCAGTCTGCCGAGACATTAACCTTACAATTACCAATTTATTGTACGAAGTAATGGATCACCTCTGACATTTATATCTATATTTTGTTAATTAATTTGTACTCATTTAACGCAACAGTATCATGTATTAAGCACTGTACACTGTAGTTTATAAAATCTGAGAGAAAAAGAATCATCTTCTGTCTACCCTTCACTTTTAAGACAAATTTCAAAGAAATCCAGATTCATACATACGGGGGCTGCCCAAAAGGTTTCACGGACAATGGCGTTTTTTGTCGTTTTGAATGGCTTAGATATACACATTATATACCGAAATATTTGTTCTAAAATTTCAAATCAGAATAGTTTGAGATTTTTGTTTGAACTTATATTTTATGTGAAAATTAACATCTTCAAAGTATGTGGAAAATGAGCACGGCCCATGGTTAAAATATTATAAACTTTGTACTTAGGTACATGTGTTTGGAATTTTTCATTTAACTGAAGTAAAATTTATAGTATAATGCGGCTGGCTTCATTTTCTGATTTCGTTAGTATTTATCATTATTCAGATAAAAGAAATATCAAGGGGAAAAATGAAAGAAATATGTATGAGAATGCCTGAAAAAGCGACGTCGGTCATCCCAACGGACATATGTATCGTGAAATGTTTTTGTTGATTTGGTGGAAACGCTGTTAGAAACGAAGAAAATATTGATTCAACAGTGACTAATAGTGTCCTCTCTGACATACATGTATTTCAGTTTATCAAATAAAATCTGCAACATGCAAAATAGTCCTGTTGCAGATTTTATTTGATAAACTGAACTACGTCAGAAAGGACAACAGGAATATTACCAGTTCATTGATTCACAAATGGCGTAAACTATTATCAAACTGGTTGGGATAGGCTGCAAGAAACTTAAAGCGATATGAGCTGCAGTTTTGAAAATTTTATTTTGCTGTTAGAATATGCTGTTATGATTAATCTGTATGTAATTCAATCCTTTATGATCAATTAGACTAAAATAAAGTATTCCATTTTTTTTTCAGAAGAAAGATTTCTGTACAATGGAATGTGTAGCATTATATAAGAAATCAATATTTTACAGGATGACAATAATGTAATAGCTTATAAATAGTTCTTCCATTGTAGATATGAACAACAGAAGTTTATAAGCATTCTTTTTGAAGTAGTTAATTACAATATTGCAACAAAAAATTCCTATGTCAAAGTTGCAGCTCAAATTGCTTTAAAGTCAGACTGAGCAGTGCGTCTTGAATATTTATAAAAGTATTTATGCGGATAACTTTCGTAAAATATTGTGTATTCCTATGATTTTTACAAAATATTTTACTCAGAACATTCTTTAAATGAGAGAAGGGGGTGGGGGGTGGGGGTCGGGAAAGTAGAAGCTTGTCAACTTGACCTCTTTTTGGAAGTTGAGTGTGTTAAGTCAAATGGTACTCTACATATCTTGTCAGCAACACTTTTCAGGACTCCCAGTAACATTTGTTCAGATTATTATTAAGAATTCACAGTTACCTTGTACTTGATTTTTTGCTCATTATTTTTTGTGAATTTGAGAATATGAATACATTATTTAATTCCACCTAAAAAAAAATTAAAATACCGAAACAGTAACACAGCTAACAAGTAATATTGTGTTTCACACTTATTGTACGTGGGCTCTATACAAAAGTCAAGTTAAAAAGTGGTCGACTTTAATCTCCTAAGTATTTTGGTATTGTTATACAAGTGTATTGCATGTACATGTATATCTGTAGGCCTAGTGCATTTTTTTTCATGTCGGTTGTCAACTAAATCATCATGCTGTAGTGAATGTCCTTGTATAATTGTATCCATATAAAAAAAAATTATCGAATCGTTCCATATATATATACAGTGGCGAGCCCAAGCCAAAGATCAAGCGACTGATAAAATAGATAAACTATAAATAATTATTCAAAGTGATCTTCATGATAAGCCAGAAAAACCACTAATGTGACTAACTCTCCTGATATCATAAAACAAACACCTTCCCACAACATTTACAATCCCTGGACGAGAATCACAAATGATTGGTTTTGTTTGAGCAAACGAGTACTTTATTAGCATGTACCTTGATATTATTTTTTTGTACTCTCATGATCTTTGGTAATTTTTGGCACTGCCTGATAGAACTCCTATCGGTCACGGTAGCCCAGTGGTAGGGCGTTCGCTTCGTGATCGGGAGGCGGGTTTGATTCTCGTTCGCAGCCCAGCGTCAAACCAATGACGTAAACATAGGTAGTGACTGTTCCTTCGCCAAGCGCAACAGCACTAGAATTGAAAGTCACGGCTCTTTCGGATGAGACCTTAAAAACCGAGGTCCCATGTCACGATAGGCGTTGGCATAATAAAGAGCCCTCACTGCTCAATGACCCTGAGTGCCAAGCATAGGTCTAAATTTGAAGCACTTCACCGGTATATGGTGACGTCTCTATATGAGTGAAAAATTCTCAAACGGGACATAAAACAACATACAACCAATCAATCATAGAACCCCACCCCCACCCCACCCCACCACCACCACATAAACCATCTCGACTCTGTAATTAGAAGTCTTACTAAATTAAGAAAATCGCTATGCATCAATTAAATTTTTCTGAACAAGAAAAAGCCGGGGTGCGTTGCATAAACTGTGTATTCTCAATCTTTTGCCTCCTTTTATGTGTTTTTCTCACAATATCGTGCAAGTATTTTGATGTTTCACTCTTTTTAATTTTTTTTTCTTGGTAGCATTTTATTTTCACGTGTGTATGTTTTCTTTTTCACCAATTGTAACTTTTTGAAATCTGTTTATTTGTTGTTATACTTCGGCAGACACTGTTTTTGACGCAATCGCATCCTATAGCTGCGACGAAGTTGGATTGTCTTGGATATAAACCAGACAATAAGAAAAGTATAAATACGAAATAAAAATGAACTTAAACTCGGATTTCATCAACTAACAGTCTGAATGATCAAATATTTCACGGGCTGATCGTAATGTACGAGACTGCAATAAATATCAAATATTTCATATCTTACTTCTGTGGCGTCATCTTTTATTCCCCATTGTCCAATAAATCGCTTTATCATACATCTTTGTGTCCAAAACGTTACCTGTAGCTGTCCAGTAGATATACAGGTAAAGGAACAAATGATTCCAAAACAATCTCAAACATTCCAACTGTTACACCGTTACGATTCACAAACACAAAACTTCCCTTTAATGCTCAACGTACATCCCCAACGTTCACGTATTTAATTGATTCATTTCAAGATAATCAAAACACAGTAAGATTTGAAGCGTCTTTCGTTTTGCGAACAATATTTCCAAAAAAGACATGTAAGGAAGGATTTCCATTTTTTTTACATTTCAATTAAAGGAATGGTTTTTTCACTCCGCTTGTGACGACTGCCTCGTGCAGTTTTATACCAATACATCTTCGAGTGTTTTTCTTATCTGACGTTTGCAAGAAAATTCGGCAGAAAATAGAAGTATAGTCAAAAATTGCAATCCACAAAATTCCAAATCAGCTTTGCTATTTTCTGTCTTTTCATGGATGATTTCAATTAGGGAGTCTCACCAAACAGAAATTCTGAACTCAGGCCTGTAGCAACGGTTCTAAAACGGGGGGGGGGGGGGGGGGGGCAACCTCCCAAAAATCTGACAAGCAAAGAAGAAAAAACTAACCTGTCCAAATTTGAAAATCCTATTTCGGGGGGGGGGGGGGGGTAGGGACTTTTCCCTTACTTTTTTCCCGTTTGAAAGTTGAAACTTTTTTTTGTACGTTGACATGATTTAAAAGCTTAATGATTCAGGAAAACGATACCTATATACGTTTATGCCATCTATTCTTATACTCCCTTGACATGTCTTTAACCTTCAAATGAGGTCAATTACATATATTAACTTCATTTGGCTTCCTTCAACGTTTTATTGGGTTTTCCTAGTAGTAGAAGATGCACGATTTTCTAATTTGTTTTTGTAAATGTTAGAACAATATTTCCATTATGTTTTTTTTTTTATCATTTGTGTAATTTTATGTCTAGGGGTCTTGATGACGTCACATCCTTTGTTCGCAGTCTGTAAAATCTGAGGACACGAAAAACTAGCAATATTTCACGCCTGGATGGTTTTAGAACAGTTCCGCGTGGATGCTTTTTAGAATTTTCTCAACAGTAAATGTATTTTGGTCGTGACAGGAAGCCATCAGTTGAGAAGTAAATACTGTCAATTTCTCGCTGTTTCTTCGCCAGTGATTTATGGGTTTCAGATGACCAGGCCAATGGTCTTTTCTATCACAGAGCTTGGTTATAATAAAGAATTGCACATTTATTCATAAAGGAAATACCATTATCAATATTTTTTGTGCCCCCAAAATCCAATCAGAAAACATCATGTTTCTGACAATGATTCAGAGATCCTTTGGGTATGATATAGTTAATTAACTTTTTCGAGAGTATAAGATATTTTTTGTTTTATATATAGGTCCATTACAGGACAGAAGTAAAACGGTACAGGCGAAAAAGTATCATTAATATCTGTATAAAAACATAAATTTGTATTATGACACATATAAGACACACACATTAAAAATACGTAAAGTCTAATTGTCAAGAATTTGGATGAGAGAGAGAGAAGGGGAGGGGGGAGAGAGCGCAAAACAGTCAATAATTTCATTGAAAGGTTTTGCTTTCCGTTTACTCGTATTTTCTGTACAATTGTCCGTATGATTTATTTTACTTTCATTTATATATTCATATATTTAGAATCTATTTAACTATTTATCAATCAACTTTTTATATTTTTGTATTTATTTATTTCCAATTTTTTTCTCTTCTTTTTCTGGTATATTTATAACACCTTATAGACCGTGAGTCTACGGAAATAACGACAGCGTTGCACGAGTCCTCCAATGAACGTGTGAGAAGTACACATTGTTTGTCGTTAGTGACGGGCAAAAGAATAACTTACATTTATTGTGATGTTAATTTGTGCGCTCTATATGCGAAAACATATGTTTTATTGACAAATAAAGAAAGTGATATGAACTGTGCAACTGTATTTGCAACACGTGTGATGGTTAGTAATAGTATTTAATTACCGTTCTGTGTCCTTTTGTCTTTATCGTTATAAGTGAAATTTTTACACTGAGGTAGAAATTCTAAATTGCTGCTTCATATTTCTTTCAATTCTTACAGTATATGATGTTTTTCTGTAGATATTTTTTTTCGCTCACTGAAACACCTATTAAGAAATGATATGTATTTATGCGATATTATGAACAATAATTTTTTTTATCAGTTGTCCACTTCAAATAATAACTGTGATAAGATCAAAGAAAAACTGGAGTGAGACAAGGAGATCCACTTTCGGAATGATTACTTAACAGAAATACAGAATAAATCTCCGCTCATACAGATTATCATTTCCCTTGCTTTGATTCCACAGATAAAAATAACTATTAAATCTTTTATTTTATCTTATTGATTTTAATCTACTGAATAAAAATTGAGCTTGTTAAATATTCATTAGTATATGCATGTGTTTTGTGCATCTTACCAGTTTCTTCATGTCAGAAGCCATTTGAAGCCGCCTATATCCATTGTGAAGTTTAAGCACCGTGTCCTGGAGCGCTGCATCTTTAATTTGGCAATTGACATTTTGTAGAATCAGAAATAATCCTGCAATTGAGAGGACGAGATACATGTTGGCGCTCACAGAGCAGGCGATGGGACTGACGCTCTGGCATAGAGCCACGCTTCATTGGATACAATATACATGTCATAATCTACTTTGGACAGAGTCCGTCATCCAATTGTCAGTCGAAATATGAATGTTCTGACGTCACCAACAGTACACAAATCCAATTGTTCTTTAATAACAAAGACTTAATCATTTTTTTCCTATGTTACAAATATTGCAGTAGTTTTGTAGGAGTTGTTTAAAGTTGTCTAGTCTCCTGAATAGGCCCCATCTTAAACCATAAAAAAGCATTACATGCTTAATCATCCCAAACCAAGAAATTGGTGGAAATTACATGTTTGAGGACAAATCATTTTTTGGTTTTTGTAGATATTAACTTTTTCGTTATCATTATCGCCACTCTTAATGTTTGAAAAAGTGAAAAGACAATTTGAACCTAGTAATCAATATCACCAATCTAAAAGAAAGTCCTTGTTTCTTTACATGTACCAATCATAGGTGCTTGTGGACAGCACCCCCCCCCCCCCCCCAATATACACCCTGGGTCCAAGAATATTTTTATTCGTCTTTTTTCCATAAATTAATCTTCTAGTACACATTTACAATGTATTCCATATGAAAAATCCAAAAAATAACATAGAATTAACGTTTTATTAAAAAACATACCCGCGTTATTATAAAATAGAGTTATAATACCGCGGGTATGATTTTTTTTAATAAAACGTAAATTTTACGTTATTTTTTGGATTTTTCATATGGAATTCATTGTAAATATGTACTAGAAGATTAATTTATGGAAAAAGACGAATAAAAATATTCTTACACCCAGGGTGTATATTCGGGGGGGGGGGGGGGGGGCTGTCCACAAGCACCTGTGGTACCAATACATCATTCCTTTTTTAGGAGGGGGTTAAACTTTCTAAGTATTTATATGAAGTCAAAGGTCATACTGATCATGTCAGAAAGCTTTTAGCTTCGCAGCGACGCAGCTACTTTCAGTAGATTAAGGACACATGGAGGAAAATATGGGAGGCAAGTGAAGATCTGTCATTTATGCTACTGTCTAGCCAGTCTAAATGTTGTAGATATACAGGGCGTACGCCTTCGTAACGGAAGAGACGTTCTCCTCAGAAATATTAATAATGTGGAGTAGAAATCAACAGTTTAGGGTTCTTTGGTTCTTCTTGAGTCGTGTAACAAAAACGTGTACGGAGTTCGCTGGATTACCTAGTTCACATGCCGAAAATATGCATTTCATTAATACAATTTTGCAAAAAAATGTCTATTAAATATACATTACATTTAACTTCCTCCTTACGTAATTTGTAATGTTCAGAGGACAAAGAATTTTTTTTCCACGTGATACATTTAGTTTGAGAGTGAAATCACTCGTACGCATAATATTCTTGTTTATTCCGGTATCTTATTACCAATTTCTTACCTATATTAATGACATGCAATTGCGTAACTTGTGATATTCAATCCGTAGTAAGATAGCATTCTTTGAACTGTGCAACACTGCACCGGAAATTAGCTCGCAGTTGCTACTGTGCTCAGTGCGCTGTTTCAGTATTAATGAGATGGCTTCTGTTGAGTGATATCAAATATCGAACGATTCAATATCTCTCTTTTTTCTGGGTCCTTGTGTTAGAAAAAATGAAATAAGAGGTCTTTTAGATCAAATTTTTAATCTATTTTAAACTGAAATTTTTCTGACAAAACATTTTCTTTGTAATATACATACTGTACGAAACAAAGTGTTGACGTGTGGCATTTATTGACTGGTTCCCTGACATTTGTTAGGAAAGCGAGTGCTCGAAAAACCAACTTGTACTTTCTAGCGGCGGCGACTGGAGTCAAGGGCAGAAAACCAGTATTAGCTGATAAAATTAATTTGATAATAATTGCTTCGAGAAAAATTAATTCATGCATGAATCACAAACAATACATGTTGCAAAACTTTAACCTTGGCCATAACTTTTGAACGGTTAGTGCTAGGGATTTAATATTTCAAATGTATATTCCTTTTGACAAAACCTCTAACCACATGACCTAGAACTTGGAGTTTGACCTACTTTTGAAAAAGCTTCCATGGCATCAGTATTTCACAACACATCTTGTAAGTATAAGAAGATGGATATGGGTCCAGAAAGATGCCCTAAGCTGAAGAATCCTGCGAAGTTTTTAGTGCAATAAGTTTACATTAGAAAGGAGATGAAAAACAAATACACTGATAATGATAAGACATTAACTGGCAAGATTGGAAATATGCAGCTTACGTCATTTCCATCTGTTACAGTCAAAACAATGGATGTTAGACAATAAAATGGGCGAGTACAATTCGTCATGGACGTCTGAGAAAACATTTGATTGAAATTCTAAGCAGCGGTTTCAAAAGTGGGGGACCAACTTCCCAAAATAAATAAATAAAAATAAAAAATAAAAAAAAACTAAAATAAAAAACGGGGGGGGGTAACTTCCAAAAGTAATCTGAAAAGCATTAAAAACACACACACATACACACACAAACTTATTAAATGTCCAAATCCTGGAATTTATCAGTGCTCGACCTTACAGCAATAAAAAGTGGGGATGGGGGGCAACCAGCATCTAAAGGAAAATTTTCTATTGCAAAATACTATACTCAGAAGAACTGGGGGCCTGTCTAGTTTGAAATTCATTTTCATTCCACTTAAGTATTTTTGATGTCTTTTTCAGCAAAATATTTTTTTTCCGAACCAAAAAACATATTTAATATCAGAAAAATAAAGTTTTAGATAACAAACGGTCTCGTCTCAACTATTTTTGTTTGTTTGTTTGTTTTTGTTTTTGTTCTTTCTTTTTTTTTTGATATAAAAGAAATCATTAATTCAATTTCAATTTCAGAAAAAATATCGAAATAAATAGTATCTATCTTCTAGCTCATGCACTCATGTCGTGTTAAGAAATCAATATATACCAAGGCAATTGTGACCTTCGTACTCATTTATTATTGGTACATTGAAGATCTGGTAGCTGTGAAATTCCATATGGTCACAAAAATACAGCACTGATCTCTCATTCTTGGCCTTCGTTGCAGCATTTTCTTTATGTGAGCGGACTTCCGTCACAAAATCTTACTGTTCGTTTGAACATTGACACTGTTTAATGGTGCAAATGCTTCTACTTATGATCTTAATTAATACAAAAAGTATACTGTTCATCATTATATTAAAACACTGAAAAGTTGAAATGGGGAGAGGGGGAAATGCTGAATTATTTATGCATTAATTTTTGTTAATTTTAATGTGTAACTTTTAAAGTATACATAATGATTGTTTTTTTTTTTTAAATTCGATTCTTATAATTATTTTTTTTTAATTCTTACATTTTTGAAAACTATGTAAATGACCTTGCATTAGGGACTTAAATAAACACAGTACTGGTCCCTCATTCCCAGTCTTCTTGGTAGTTCTATTAACTACCGTTTGTTATTGAAGGCTGTCTCAGGTATGTCACAGGCTCGTGGGCGGACCGAAGGTCGTACTTTATATCTTACTAACTATAGACTAGGGATTAGTTAAAGAAATCGAAATTCTGAAGTTCAGTGTATGGCTATTCCTCAGGTTTGTCCCTTCAACTTTCAGGCATTGCATGAAATGAAGCCCTGAAGCTACTCTTCAAAAAATTATCAAGTGATGTACATCAAAGGTGGCGTTTATTAAATTCAAATGATTAGAAAGACAAAACAATGATAAGTAGACCAGTACTCATAAAATAATTATATCTATGGGTGAAAGAAAAGGGTTAAAAGAAACTAGCGACAAAACAGTTATTGTGCCTTAGTATCGTGTTATCAGCTGTGAATATGGCGCAGATTATATGCTGTCGAGGACCCCTGATTTATCACCAGTATTGATGAACCTGCTGTCGATATGTAGATGTTGCCAGAGTTGACTAATTTGTAATGGGACACATTCACACCCGCTTCCTCCTAACAATAAGCAAATCTCACACCCGGGGTGTGTTCGAATTAATCCGATTTCATTCGCGGTCAGTGATTGTCTGGAGGTGCGAGAAATGGATCAGCTGTCAATCAATCAATCTCTTCACGTGCCGTGTTTGTATAATACACATACATGTACATCACAGGTTAAGATTTGTGTGTCCACCAAACAGTCCAAGTGTTCATAGACTGCTATCTTTTATAACCTGTTAGATAACTGGAACTATATTAGAGACACGAATAGGGAATAATGTAAATTCATTCGAATGAAAGCCAAAATCATTACACAGCAGTTTGACGAGATCGATTTTCTCTCACGTTTTTTCCTCGCTGTTCACCCAATTTAACTCGGAATACAGACCTACCCAATTATGTTGCTGTATTTTCTATTAGTTTAGATAAAATTACTTTCATCAGCACATTTTGAAGAACAGAATTAATATACCTTCCATGACCGATCGAAGAGGCTACCAATTTTGCCTTTCATTTATTTTATTCATTATATATCAGAGATACTTTGTCATTTGATTCTTTTCATTTCAATAGTCCTTACAGTATTCCTTGGCTCCCCCTCCATGATCATTATAATTATAAATATAACCATTATAATAATGATCATAATCAGTATTATAATAAACATAATCACTATAATAATAAACGAGTCTAGTCATTTTTTCCTTTGTTTGTAAAATATGCCAGAAACAATTTGTTTACTAAATTATTTACTTAGTACATAAAACGAGTTTAATATTATAGATATACATCTTTACACTGAGGGGGTGATAATTTATCATATGATATTAACTGCTTTCCCTTTCTGTCGTTATACATGTATATAAAAACGAAATGCAATCAAATAATTTGTAACATTTATTCTATAGTTTTTACTGTAAGTGTGTTATATCATTCACATTTATATTGAATATGATGTTTATCTATATGTTTCATATTATCATTGATGAAAATAAATCCATGTATAGAATTTTCAGTGAATTGATCAAATTGATGAGCTTGTCGGAAAAGTTCGTAAAACTATTATCTTGCCAATCATTCAAAAAAAACTAACAA